CCCGCCGCCCGGGCGCCACGACCCACTTCAACAAGGGCCCTTCCCGCGGGCTTTCGGCCGCGGTCAAGGACAAGATGGCTTCCAAGTGTGGTCATCAAGCAGAAGAAGACCTTCGCAATCGGATCGAAGAGGGGACAGGCCTGAGTATCGACACCAACTTCCAGCTGGGCCTCAAGGATGGCACCATGCTCTGCGAACTCATACACAAGCTGCAGCCGGGCTCAGGGAAGGTCAACGAGTCCTCATTAAACTGGCCTCGGTTGGCGAATATCGGCAACTTTATTAAAGCTATCCGGGCTTATGGTATGAAACCACATGACACATTTGAGGCAAATGAGCTCTTTGAGAAAGGAAACATGACCCAGGTTCAGACTGCTCTGGTGGCCCTTGCAGGTCTGGCTAAAACAAAAGGATTCCATACAACGATTGACAGCGGTGTTAAGTATGCAGAAAAACAAACAAATCGTTTTGATGAGGGAAAGTTAAAAGCTGGCCAAAGTGTCATTGGTTTGCAGATGGGAACCAACAAATGTGCCAGCCAGGCAGGTGTGACGGCTTATGGGGAACTTTTATGGCACCTTTATGATCCCAAGATGCAAACTGACAAACCGTTTGACCAGACCACGATTAGCCTGCAGACGGGCACTAACAAAGGAGCCAGCCAGGCGGGGATGTTAGCACCAGGTACCAGAAGAGACATCTATGATCAGAAGCTCACATTACAACCCGTGGACAACTCGACAATTTCTCTACAGATGGGTACCAAGAAAGTTGCTTCTCAGAAAGGCATGGCTGTGTATGGGCTTGGCGGCAAGTGTGTGATCCCAAATACCGCGCTGCTCCGACAGAACCTGTCATTCACAATGGAAGCCAAGGAACGGGAATAAATGGGTCGGAAATCAGTGATAGTGATTATCAGGCAGAATACCCAGATGAATATCATGGTGAGTACCAAGATGATTGCCCCAGAGATTACCAATATGGTGACCAAGGCATTGATTACTAGAGTCACACAGAGGAGCTCAGTGTTTAGTCTGTTGTTTTTATTCAGTGAGAACCAAGCTAGCCTTGAGTAATTTTTATCTTGTCTTCCTAAAACACTATTGTACTTATTGTACCTGAAAAAAAAATGCCTTACCTACATTCCTTTTTCTGCCTCTTCCCTAAATAGTTGCCTTTTAATGCTGTAAAGCTAAATCCTACAGCATAACCAGTGACTTGCATATGAAGTAAAGAGGAAGACTGTGAAAGGGTAGTCCTCTGTACAGCCAGCTCCTTGATTAAAGGTCTATGCATTTTTACAGCCTTACGCTTAAACTGGTTTTCTCAACCAATAGGAAACTATTTTTTTTTACAGTTTAGTGTATCTGGTTCTACATGGAAGACTAAACTCACGCTTATTGCTAAATGTGGTCTTTGCCAACTAAATCTAAGATGCAGCATTTTAGAAATTTACACATCATTGTTCTGCAGTATTGTTTGCTGATTTTTAAATAAAGTCCTGACCAGTGTGCATTTGTGATCACATGTGTACTCATTCTCTTACTAGTGGACAAGGCCTTTTTGGAGTGGTGTTTCTAGGAGTGTGGACAGAAGTGGCCGGCAGACATTTAGGTCCAGGAGGTGCATCTGCCCTTCCTGTTTGTGCCAGTGTGTCGATGTGGAGTTGCTCAGTTTTCTTCAACTGTATTTATTGCTGCATTTTTCAGCATAAACTTATCCCATTGTATTTTTTATAAATAAATTTTTCTTTGAACATTCAAAAAAAAAGCTACAAAAGAGAAGCTCCCATGTCAGATGTACTTGCTGTTTTCTGACACTTCTTAAACACTGTTGATGGCAATTATGGAGATAGGAATCAAGCCGACATTCCCATTAGTAACTGAAACAATTGCCCATAGGAATAGATGGAAAACTATGCCACCACATTTTGAGAAATTAAGAAATCTCAGATAAGAACAAAAAGTAATATTAAACATTTGTAAATCCAACACAGAATTAGTTTGTCTTATACAACCGGATAGATAGACACTGGAGCCATTTACTGAGATACAGAAAACTGAGAAAGAAACAGATGTCGACCGGGGTCCGTGGCTCAAGCCTGTAATCCCAGCACTTTGGGAGGCCAAGGCAAGCGGATTGCCAGCACCTGCAGGTTCGAGACCAGCCTGGGCAACTTGATGAGACCTCGACTCTACAGTAAATAAAAAAATCATCTGGGCTTGGTAGCTCGCGCCTGTATTTCTGGCTACTTGGAAGGCAGAGGCAGAAGGATCGCCTGAGCCCAGCAGGTCGAGGCTGTGGTGACCGTGAGCATGCCATTGCACTTCACCCTGGGCGACGGAGTGAGACTCCAACTCAAAAAAAAGAAACAAATGTCCAGAGAAAATAGTAAAGACTCTGATTCAAGTGTCACTTGGAGAAACATTATCCAGAATCTAAGTATACAAGCTTTAACCTCTACAAAACAATGAGACAACTCCAACCCTACAGTGGAGCAAGAAATGAAGTTAACATCCAGTACTTTTTGTATGCCAGGTCCTAACACACCCATCATCTTATTTAATCTTCACCATAATCTCATGATATAAGTGGTATTATTTCTGATTTTCTTTTTTGAGACTGTGTTCTACTATATTGCCCAGGCTGATCTTGAACTCCTGGGCTCACGACTGTAATCCTAGCACTTTGGGAGGCCAACGCAGGAGGATTGCTTGAGTTCAGGAGTTTGAGACCAGCTTGGGCAACGCAGCAAGAACTTGTCTCTAAAAAATATTTTTAAAAAAAACAACTCGGCCGGGCTCGGTGGCTCAGCCTGTAATCCCAGCACTTTGGGAGGCCAAGGTGAGTGGATTGCCTGAGCCGGCGGGCTCGAGACCCGCCTGGGCAACTTGGTGAGACCTCGTCTCTACAATAAATCAAAAATTGGCCAGGCATGGTAGCGCGCACTTGTAGTTCCAGCTACTTGGAAGGCTGAGGAGCCCAGCAGGTCGAGGCTGCGGTGACCGGGAGCGATCATTGCACTCCAGTCTGGGCGACAGAGACTCCAACTCAAAAAAAAACCAAAACAAAAAAAACCCCAAAACAACTCTTCAAATAGAAAAGAACAAGAAAAGAGAAATGGACTTAAGGAAACTCTCTTTTTGGGTGGACAATAACAACAATATAATTCTTCAGTGTTAATATTTAATATGATTAATCCAATATTTGTGATTAGAAAAACCAGCTGGAAACTAATATCTATGAACCTCTCTCAGTGTTTAGTGAATGAACTTGTCTACAGTTTGACTAAACCACCATTGCATTTTACCCGACTCCAAGCATCCTCTTCTCTTTCACTAACTCCCCATGGAAAAGGACAATCCAAGAGCAGAAAACATGAATGGTATCTGATTATAGCTGATTAAACAGATTAGTATTCCTTTTGCTATTGAAAAAGTAATCGTTTTATTTTCTCTTACCCGACAAGGATGAATGCCACAAGCTGTAAGTAAAAGCTATCTGCATGTAACATTAACTAGTCTTGTTTCTGTGCTGTTCCATTTTCAAGATGTATCAATTGCATCTTGGAAATACATATGATTTCGGCTGTTATTTCTACCTTTTGTACATCAATGTGATAATGAGTTGGGAGCTGGCAAACGTTTTCTGTTAAGGGCTAGACAGCAAATAGTTTAGGCTTTGCAGGCCACAGGGTCGCTGTCACAACTATCCAACTCTGCCATTGTAGGGCAGGAGGAACATAGATCTTGCCCAAATAGATAAGGGGGCTTCATAGCAATACATATTTGTGGGCACTGAAATTTGCATATCGATCGGGCTCAGTGGCTCAGTCTGTAATCCCAGCACTTTGGGAGGCCGAGGTGAGTGGATTGCCTGAGCCCGTGGGTTCGAGACCCCCCTGGGCAACTTGGCGAGACCTCATCTCTACAATAAATCAAAAATTAGCCGGGCATGGTAACGCGCGCCTGTAGTTCCAGCTACTTGGAAGGCTGAGGCAGAAGGATCGCCGGAGCCCAGCAGGTTGAGGCTGCGGTGGCCGGGAGTGGCCACTGTGCTCCAGTCTGGGTAACAGAGTAAGACTCCAACTCAAAACAAAAAAAAGAAATTTGCATATAATTTTCATGTGTCACACAATATTGTTATTTTTATTTTTAAGCCATCTAAAAAGTATAAAAGCAGCTGGGAGCAGTGGCTCACACATGTAATCCCAGCATTTTGGGAAGTGGAAGCAAGAGGATTGCCTGAACCTAGGGGTTGGAGACCAGCCTGGACAACTTGGCAAAACCTTGTCTCTACAATAAAAAAATTAGCCAGGTGTGGTGGCGCGTACCTGTAATTCCAGCTACTTGGAAGACTGAGGCAGAAGAATCGCCTAAGCCCAGCAGGTCGAAGCTGCAGTGATCATGAGTATGTCACTGCACTCCAGCCTGGGTGACAGAGTGAGACTCAGACTCAAAAAAAAAAAAAGTTAAATCAGTGTTAGGTTACAAGCCCAGCTGGGCCTCCAGAATCTTAGGCCAGGACTGCAAGTGGTGTGGGTGTCTGATGTGCTGTCTGGTGCCGTGAGAAAGATGCAAAGAATTACATAGACGTTAGATTAGAAAATAGAGTTTATTTAGTACTAAATTAGAATGAGAGCAAGAGAGAGAAGATTCGCTCCCCAAGGTAGGGGAGGAGACCAAAGCTTAAGAAAGCATGGGCTGGCCATAGATCAAAGAGCACATGGCCTCACCATAATTTAGCAAGGTAATGGCTGTTGGCTGCTCATGATTGAGTCCTTTACATCCTTTCCTTTGATGGAGGAAGGTTATTAAGGCAATTGGGTGGTGGTCTGCTCCACATCATCACGAAGGGGCAGGTAAGCTTAGGTCCTGAGGTCAGGTGACAGACAGCAGGTAGATGGGTGGGTTAGTCACATAATTGCTGCCATGGTGGTGGGGTCTGTGTGTGTCATGAAGGTCACAAAAGACTGATTAGGTTAACTTGGGTCTTATGAGTAGAGACAAATACTTGAAATAGAAAAGCTAATTAATGCCGGGCTCGGTGGCTCAGCCTGTAATCCCGCGCCTTTGGGAGGCTGAGGTGAGTGGATTGCCTGAGCCCACGGGTTTGAGACCCTCCTGGACAGCGAGACCTCATCTCTACAATAAATAAAAAAATCAGCCGGGCGTGGTAGCACATGCCTGTGATTCTGGCTACTTGGAAGGCTGAGGCGGAAGGTTCGCCAGAGCTCAGCAGGTCGAGGCTGCGGTGGCCAGGAGTTAGCCACTGCACTCCAGTCTGGGTAACAGAGATAGACTGCAACTCAAAAAAAAAAGAATAATTAGTAAAAAACAAGCAGGGGTGGGGGTTGTAAAACAATTATCAATAACTACCTCTGAGAAACCCGTTCTGTTCTTGACTAGTGATTAGAGGGCAAGTTAAGTAAACTGCTAGAAAAACATGAGATTTAGGCAATGTTAAAATGGATGCTCATTGGATATATTAAATCCATGTTACATTCTTTCAATCAGTTTTTACAAAACTGTCTGGATTTGGCCTGTGAGTCATAGCTTGACAATCCTGATACAAAGGACTTGTTCGTTCAGTTAATTAGGACCTGGCAATGAGGTAATGAGGTTGAAGATGTGGATTTAATCCTTATGTGAATGATCCAATTACCTTCTTGAGATTACCAGTCTCAAATTCCACCCTCAGTTCTGACCAGTGACTTGGATATGTGGGCTAATGTCAACTAATGAGTTGTCACCAGAAACAGTCCGTGAAAGGTGCCACTTCCTCAAGCTTCTATTTCTAGCATAGCTTACTGATGATTCTCTACTCTCTGTTGCCCAGGCTGGAGTACAGTGTCACACTCATGGCCACTGCAGCCTCCACCTTCTGGGCTCAGGCAATCCTTCTGCCTCAGCCTCCTGAGTAGCTGGGACTACAGGCATGCACCACCAACACCTGGCTAATTTTTTTGATTTTTTTTTTTTTTTTTGTAGAAAGGAGATCTTACTATGTTGCCCAGGCTAGTCTTGAATTCTTGGCCTCAAGTGATCTTCCTGCTTAGGTGTCCCAAACGGCTGGGATTATAGGCCTGAGTCACCACACCCAGCCACTTGAGTTTTTGCTTTTCTTACTTTCTCTGAATAGACTGACACAAATCATAGCATCCTCTTCTCACCCCTGTATTAAGGCAGTAGAGTCAGAAATGTGTGGGTTTTTATTGTTGTTATGTAGGAAAACAGACTCATAAGCATTTCAGATAATTAATTCTTTAAGAAAGTAAAACAGCTGTGTCATGCATATTAAAAAAAAATTTTTTTTTTTTGAGTCAAAGTCTCACTCTGTTGCTCAGGCTGGAGTTCAGTGGCATGCTCACAGCCACCGCAGCCTTGACCTGCTGGCCTCAGGTGATCCTTCTGCCTCAACCTTCCAAGTAACTGGAACCACAGGTATGTGCCACCACACCTGGCTAATTTTTTTATTTATTGTAGAGACAGGGTCTCACCAAGTTGCCCAGACTGGTCTCGAACCCCTGGGCTCAGGCAATCCTCTTGCCTCTACCTCCCAAAGTGCTAGGATTACAGGTGTGAGCCACGACGCCTGGCCTTAATATTAATCTTGAACTTTTTATCAACCAGGCTAATTTCATTCTGTGAATGCCCTAAGCAATTCCGGTAGATTTGCTCTTGCACTGGAAAATACAAGGAGTGCTTTTGTTTCCCATATGGATCATTCCTCAGCACTTTGGAAAGACCCAGCTCTATTTACCTTAACTA